GCCGCCATGAGCCCCCTACCGCCCCTCACGGCCGCGGGGCCGCCCGGGCCGAGGGGAAGGGGCGGGGCGAGCCCCGGGGCGCGTCAGGCGGAAAGGGCGGGAGCCGCGCCCCGGAACGGAGCGCTCTGATTGGGCGCTGGCGGAGGCGCGCGCCCGCGAGCGGCGGCGCGCGTGAGCGGTTCCCGGGCGCTGATTGGCCGGCCGGCGCGTCCCCGGCGGCGCGCGCTGACCTTGCCCCGCGGAGCCGCAGCCATGGTGGCGTATTGGCGACAGGCCGGGCTCAGGTACGGGCGCGGCCCCGCCGTGAGGGAGCGCCGCTCTGAGGGGTCACAGCGCTGCCGGGGGAACGCGGGTGTGGGGCGGGGGAGGCGGCTTTAGCGCCGGGCCCGGGTCTCACCGCCCTCTGTCGCCCCGGCCGCAGCTACATCCGGTACTCGCAGATCTGCGCCCAGGCTGTGCGGGCCGCCATGAAGCCGCAGTATAAAGCGGAGGCGGAGAGAGCAGCGGTGGCCACGGTGAAAACGGTGAAACCCAAAAAGGAGTGAAATGTAAGTGGGTGGGGTGCGCTGGGTGCGTGGTTGGAGCTCTGTAGTGCAGGAGTGGCGTTAGCGATATCAGTAACTGCGGAGCCCATTAATCCCCGATATCTGGAGATAATCGGTTCCATTTCCAGGCATGGCAGGGAGGGCATTGCGGCTGCTGTGCCGCAGGTGTTTGTGACCTGGTTACGTGTGGGATGGCAAACAGCCTGATCTCATTAGTGAGCTGAGATGCACTGCCAAGCCCTGCACTGAACCGCTTGCGGTTTGGTCACACTTGTCGCGGGCTTACACAGAACAGCTGGGGCTCTCTAGTGATGCTCACAGGTTTCTCTGGATTTTCACATGTCTCAGACTTGCTAAGCCAGCAGACAGCCTGTCTGAACTGCTCCTTCCCCTGTTCAGCAAATTTGTTGTATGTGTTATCTGCTCTCTGTGAGACAGATGCTGCTTGTACCTTTGTTTGTGCCATTTTACACATTACAAGCAGCTGAAATATTTTATGTTCTGGATAGAACAGCTTATATTCCTGATCTGAGATTAAATGCTAGTACCTTTTGTTTAAAGTGTACCTTGTACAAATTCTTGAATGAAATAACTTGTATTTTTAATCTCTTGTAGGAGCTGATCTGTGGTGAATAACAGCAAACTGCAAAGCTGTAGGCGAGCTCAAGGTTGCAGTGTAATGTCATCACATGAACTGTAGAACTTGCCTGTGTATGTAAATTGACTTGCAAATAAATGTAATTTCTGAATGTGCAGAAAGTGTAGTTCCTCTTGAAATTTTCTGTTCTGCAGAGACACTTACTTTTCAGTTCTGTTAAAATAAAATACTGCTTTTAGCACAGTCTGGACATTCAGTAGCAGCATTGTTTATTTTTAAGCCAAATCTCTTTTTGGGTGTCATGCTGATATTTCAGGTACATAAATGAGTGAGAGATTTGATTGTTGTTTAAAACTTTTCTGCCTACTTCATTTAAATTATTACTTTGGAAAAAATCCTGGCTAAAAGCTCTGTTAGCAGAGAATATAGCATATAGTTTTGAAAACTGGAAGCAGGATATTTGTGCCATGGATGTGCTGCTGGACATCTAATCTCCAAGCCTGAGACACTGAGCAGTGAATCAGGAATTGGGAGAGCTGGTGTCATGTAAGATGGGGAAGAAGACACAGGAGTCTGAATTGTTTATCCTCATTGCACTTTGTCAGGACAGGGAGGAGAGGGAGAGGGACACGTTCCCCGGGAAGCAGGAATGGAGGGGGACGCTGCTCTTGGCTGGGAGGCAAAGCTGCTCTTCAGGCTGTGTAGTTTTGGGGAAGGTTTTGCATTTTCCTGCTGCTGTCATCCGTGTGGGCTCACAGCAGGGATGACATTGCCCCACTGCACAGGAAAATTGGCTTCAGGTTCCTTCACCAAGACTGAACTCAAACATGAGGGGTTGCCTTTTTCAGAGTACAACAACCTTTGTTAAACCTTTTCAGATAAGAGTATAACTAATTTAATTCAAAGTTAGTTCTTGAAAGAATAAACTATGGGGGTTTGTCTATCAAATGTTTCAAGTATAAAACTTTCATAGAATGGTATATAATCTTTATTTAAAAGAATATTATAAATACATTAAGTAGGCAGCTGTGATGTCAAGAAATTTTTGTCACCAAAGGCAAAATAAGATTTTGTTTTAGTGACTGCCATGGAATTTATATTAACAAACTACAAACCATTCTATGTCATTTTTGTTGTACTGAATGTTAGGACAAAAATTTACAGTAGTTAGTACCTAGGAAAAAAAATACCACACCACAACTTTTACACGATGTCACAACTTAGTGTGCTAATGTAACTGAACCTGTAGTTAGATATAGAAACAAACCACACCATGATAATGAATACAAGCTCTGCAATAATATAAGCCAGCAATGTGATAGAACAATTAAGAGTACTTATAAAATAAGAATGTGCATATTCAGTCATTTGCCCCCTGTTGTTTCTGCAGATCTACATCAGTCCATGGAATGATAAGAGTCACTGCCTTTGGAGGCTTCAGAGATGTGCACATGTTCCTAAAACAGTAACAAGTTCACAATCAGCAGGGATTGTGTTTACCTGAGAATAAATAAATGTGATGAGCTGACAGCTGTTTTGCTATTGCTTATGATCCTGGTCTATATACACAAGCACAGTGGCTGTATAATACATTCAGTATCTGATGATTATATTCTAAAAGTGAATCCATTTACAGGAGGGGCTGGTATGAGATAACGTGTCTTCATAGTGGATCGGTTCTGGGAGAGATTCGAGCTCAACAGTTCTTTAAGACAGTAAAGCAGAGCTGCCATTAATTTCAAAAACACTGTGTTGTAATACCAGATATACTTGGTCAGATGCAGAGAAAAAGTTCTGAAGAAAAGTGATATTTTGGGTATGCAGATGATGGCTTTTATTTTGTCTTTAGTGAATGTGAACAGGCTCATTCAGAGAATGTTTTGTTACTTTTTACTCTGCTTCCTTTTCTGGCTTGGCTTCTGCTTCCACTTCTACCTCTTCAAATTCCTCCACATCTGCAGTGGCATCCTGGTACTGTTGGTACTCAGACACGAGGTCATTGGTGTTACCTTCTGCTTCAGAAAACTCCATCTCATCCATGCCTTCCCCCGTGTACCAGTGGAGAAAGGCTTTCCTTCTGAACATGGCCGAGAACTGTTCGGACACCCTGATGAAGAGCTCCTGGATGGCCGTGTTATTGCCAATAAACGTGGCTGCCATCTTCAGCCCTCGCGGCGGGATGTCACACACGGCCACTTTGACATTGTTAGGGATCCACTCCACAAAGTAGGAGCTGTTCTTGGTCTGGATAGAGAGCAGCTGCTCGTCCACTTCCCTGGTGGACATTCTGCCCCTGAAGATGCAGGCGACGGTGAGGTAGCGCCCGCGGCGGGGGTCGCAGGCTGCCATCATGTTCCGGGCATCGAACATCTGCTGGGTGAGCTCTGGCACCGTCAGGGCCCGGTACTGCTGGCTGCCCCGAGCTGTCAGCGGGGCGAAGCCGGGCATGAAGAAGTGCAGGCGAGGAAAGGGCACCATATTCACCGCCAGCTTCCGTAGATCCGCGTTCAGCTGGCCGGGGAAACGCAGCGAAGTGGTGACGCCGCTCATCGTTAGGGACACCAAGTGGTTGAGGTCCCCATAGGTGGGATTGGTGAGCTTTAATGTCCTGAAGCATATATCATACAGAGCTTCGTTGTCAATGCAGAAGGTTTCATCTGTGTTCTCTATCAGCTGGTGGATGGAGAGGATGGCGTTGTACGGCTCCACCACGGTGTCGGACACCTTGGGCGAGGGCACAACACTGAAGGTGTTCATGATCCTGTCAGGATATTCCTCTCTGATCTTGTTGATGAGGAGCGTCCCCATGCCTGAGCCTGTGCCACCACCAAGGGAATGGATCAGCTGGAACCCCTGAAGGCAGTCACAGCTCTCACACTCATTCCTGACCACATCCATGACATTTTCAATCAGTTCAGCACCTTCTGTGTAATGGCCCTTGGCCCAGTTGTTGCCAGCACCTGAATTACCTGTGAACAGAATTACAGAAGGAACAGCCACAAAGTTAACTGGAGAATTTTTGAAGGACTTCCAAGGCCGTTTTGGGACAGTTGCCTGCAGTCAGTTTGCTGGCAATGTGCTGTACATACCATGGATAAAGTTGTCAGGTCGAAAGAGGGGCCCAATTCTGCTGGACCGAACACTGTCCATCGTCCCAGGCTCCAAGTCCACCAGGATGGAACGGGGCACGTATTTATGGGCTGGAACAAAACAAAATGAATGCAAATAATTACTGCTAGTGGTCAAAGAAACAGTAAGTCCAGAAAGTCCAATCCACCTACAGTGGTTTTTGTGGGTTTTTAAATTACTTATTTTACTGAGCACTTACAATAAGCCTCATTGAAGTACACGTTAATTCTCTCCAGCTGCAGTGGTGAATCCCCACGGTAGTTCCCAGTGATGTCAATCCCATGTTCCTCACCAAGAACCTCCCAGAACTGCAAAAGGAAAGAGGTATGATTTATTTATTTTTATTTTATTTATGAGAATGATTTACTTATTTTCAGCACCAGCTCTGGGAACTGTGCCTGAAGTAGGGGGTGCTTTGCCATGTACTTACCAGATCAGAACAGGGATGCGTCTCTACCCCTCCCAAATAAATTTGAGGGAAAAGTTTAGCAGACCATTTATGCTGCTTAGCTATGACCCATGCACTAATAGGTTGAGGCCCTCAATTTGTTCTCTTTATAATAAAAGAAAATTGATGGTAGTTAAAAATATTAAATAACAGTTACTTCTCAGTATGAGCTTAACAAAAATGTTGTGAGGGTGTAGATTAGGCAGAGTTGCTTTGAGTCCTGTCATGCACAAGTGGGACCATGGCATGACAAAGCTGGCACAGGCAAATTTGTACATGAGCAAGGCTTTCCACAAACAGCTGCTGGTCCTAAATGTCCTATCTTGACACTCATATGGATGTGCTCTTGTGCTGGGCTCTTATCTGGGCAGCAGCCACAGCAGTGTTCATGCAGACACACCCACCCACTGTAAGGGCCAGGCTATTCTAATATTAAAGGTTTCCTGAGTTAGCATCCAGTCCCATTTTGAGTGTACAAATACGCCACTGTCAACAGGTGCATGTTCCATGCTTCACATTCCATTAAAAGGAATCAAGGTTAGGAGTGGGAGAAGGGAGGAAGAACACAGCAGAACAATCCCTAAACTATCTAATGTCTTAAAAGACCTCCCAGCCCAAAATAGATACTCTTTGCACAACTTCTGACATATCAATTGGAAAAAAAAAAAAAAAAAAGATGGACACAGCATAGTAATTGAGGGGCAATTTTACTCCTAGCCCAGAAAGCCAGCAATAGTGACTACTCCCTATCTCCCTATGTCACAGCATGCCAGTGTTTGAGCTACACAAAAATACTCCAAGTGACACCTGTGTCTACAGGAGGCCAGTGACATTTTGGTGTCACTCTACACTGTTAACACAGGTTATGCTGTTGATTAATATGATCTTATATGATCTTTAAGACCCTTCCAACCCAAAACATTGTATAATCATACTGTGATATACAAGAATAAAATGAGGCAGAACTGTTGCATGGCTTAACTAAAGTACCAGCAACACAACTTCACAGCCCTGGAATTACTGGCTCTGTCTCTTGCCCCAGTATCTGGCAGAGTATGTGAGTTCCCCCTGAGAACAGGAATCCCAACAGGAATGTTCTGGTGCACCTGTAATCACTGGGCTATGGTTATTGCAAATGAACATTTAACTTTGCATGAGGAGCAAATCCAGCTTTTGCCTTTCACACCAAAATACTCATGTTCCCTGCTAACATGCCATGCTTCCCACCACTGAGTTACAAGGAAATTGTCCCCCCCAAAAATCCCCATCCATTGATGATGTGTGACCTGCTACCTCTGATCCTCTGCTAATAATGAGTGTTGAGAAGAGACCTTACCTTGGATCCGATTTGGTTCCCACACTGGCCAATCTGCAGGTGCACGATTTCACGCATTTTGTGTGACTCAGACCTGTCGGTGGCTACAGCCTCGCCCAGGCTCCCCAGCTGCCCAGAAGAAGCCCTCAGCCTGCTGCTCTATCAGCTGCACCCAGCACAGCCTGGCCCAGGGGCCCTTTTATACCCCAGGGACTGTCACTCAGCCAGCCAGGGGAGTAGCCAGCCCCAGGCACTGCACCAGCAGCCAAGGGCCTCTTCACTGCCTGGGTGCAGGTACAGCAGCACAGGTGCACCCTGAGTGGCATGGAAAGCAGCATTGTCACATGCAGCCCTTCCCAGTTCTCTGTGCAGCAGTGTGGTGCATGAATATGTGTGCATAGTCTGTTTGTGTTGCATTATTTTATATTAGACGTAATATATATACAAATATATATGTGCGTATGTAGAGATGATAGCCCAAAGTGAGTGATCTTAATTTATTAAGCACATGTGCTTCTGCCACATAATTTAAATTTTAGCATCATGTGAGTCATAGAGGACAACACCCATAATAAAAATGGTAACAACTTGTGAGCAGTAGCCTCCTATAATCACAACAAGCACTTCATTGCAAGGCAAACTCCAGCTCACTAACAAGCATCATTCCTGATGTGACTGCATGAAGCAGAAGGAAAAAAAAATATTTTGTAACATAAAAAATAACAATGTACTCTCTCAGTGATGCCTGGTCCTTAAATACTTACAGGAATCCATAATTTTTAGTCAAAACTTGAACTAACTTGTGACTAACTTGCACAGATGCTCTTTCTCTCTCCATCTCTCTCTCTTCATTCCCTGACATTAAGAAATGCAGCATTTCTAATATTTCTTGATTTCTTATATCTCAGATGTACTTCAGAACTTGCCCAGAAATTGCTAGAGATGAAAAACCTGTTTCACTGAAGCTCTCTGAAGTGAACTGTAACCTTCACTGAGTGAAACATCTCCCTGTGCTAAAGGAAATGATGTGAGGCAGAACAAAATACAGCACAGTCATGTTTGGCTGCTGATAACCAGGACCAATATCACCGAGCAGCAGAAACCCAGGGTAAAATGACTTCTGGAAGCCTAGAGCAGTTTCATGACACGTCAAATGACTGTCACTGCCTTGTAAGCATTCCTTTTAAGGATTAGGAAAGGAACTATAAATAGGAAAGCACCTTAAACTATTTAGCATAAAATGGTGACAGTGGAAGGGCTTGACTCACTGAATGTAACTACTCGACCACTTTATGGGTTGCTAGAGATAAGGGATTTCTGAGCTTCCATATGGTTCCTAAAGAAAAATCAGCTTGTTCCAGGCTTCCCCTCCACTTGATGACTTCCACTTCTCCCACCAGCCAATGAAGGAACAGACCCTGCTCCTAACACAGAGCTCAGCACCAGAAGTGCATTGTAAAAAAATAGAGAGCAAACATCCATCACCCTCTGCCATGCTATGAGCATACTCAGTAAGGAGCAATAAAAGGAAGACTTTAAATGCAGGTAAATTCATTTTGTTTCCTTAAAACACAATAATTTAAAAATTTTCCAAAAGATAAGTATTCTCTAAGCCATTCAGTTTACCCAGCAAGACACACAGAATGTTTTGTTCCATTGCCACATTGTCAATATCAAATACTAAATAAATAAAATATAAAAATATACATTTATATTAATTTATAAAAAATATAAATTAATATAAATTAGAAAATCAGCTTAAGAAAAGGCTGAAGGTGCTAATTCACTGTCCAGAAAATTTGACAAAATAATTTCAGCAATAAATATATTCACTGAGCACATCTCACAAGGAAACGGTGAAAAGGGAAGTAAAAGAAATATGCAACCACTCAATAGGGGTTTTTCCTCTTGCTGAAAATAGCTCCCTAGAATCATGTGCCTCCTCTGAAGCACTTCCTTATAGAGCCTTAAAAATTCTGGCACATGACACCAGGTAGCTGAGATTCTTTGTGAAGAAGATGTGGGCTCAGGTTTCTTTTCCCTCTCCTTCCCATCTGCCTTTCCGTGAACCTCTAAGTCTGATTTTATCCCAAACCCGGCCCAGGAGGGGCTGCTTCTGTGTAGATTTACTTGCAGACCGGTCTCTGCTCAGCCCAGGGAAACCCCAGGTTTGTACACAGCCCGAGGCACTTCCCAGCACAGCCGGGGCACATGTGCAGCTGCAGATTAGCAGAGAGGCACTGGGGAGAGAGGGGCTGTGCTGGATGGGCCGGCTCCAGCCACTTTTGGCACTGGGGAGATTAGGAGCAGCCTGGCACTGGGCACAGCTATTGCAGCTGTCCCACAGTGCTTATTATCAAGCTGCCCTCTGCTTCCAGATACCACAGGCCTGCTGATGGGCTTGGGCTGAGACCACAAAGACGCCAGGCTTTTGTGGTTGCCGGGCTTTTTGCTGTTGTTTTTGTTTTCTTGGTTGATTTTTGGGGGTTTTTTTAACACTATCCCCAGTAAATATGCATGTGCAAGGAGGCATTCTGGGATACTCTTTTTTAATGGCTTGCTTGGGAGGAACCGGCTTTTCAGAGTAGCAGAGAAGATTGAGAGGAAAGCCTATTCAGTTTGAGATAAGACTGGCTACAGGCCATCAGATAATTTTAGAGATCTGTGAATGGCTACCAGACAAGCTGATGCAAGTCTTAACTAACCTGGGCCAGCTGAATCACCCTTAAGAATGATACAAAAAAAACACTGCAGTTAATCCACAGGCTTCATTCATGCTCTGCTCTTCCTTTTGGTGTATTGGTTCTCTGTGCCTCAGTTTCTCTATTCATGTGTTGTTAATAATAAAACCTCAGGCCCTCTACAAAAAGTGCTGAACGCTAAGGAACAGAAGCTAGAAGGGAAGAACTGTCTGTGGTTTACTAAACCAGTTTATCAAACATGAAAGCTTCTACCTAACGTATGGAAAAGAGACTGATAATCCATTCACACAGTCACTAGAAGCTTCTACAGGAAAATTAGAAAACTATTTTTCCTACTGACTAAATCTTCTAGCAAATAATAAAGACCTTCAGATGTTCAAACCCTAAGGAACAGCCTAGAAAATGGACACAGGCTTGTGTTCTTTTGCTAATTCTAGCATTAAAGGGCTTGAGAAATCCAGAATTTGGGAGACTAGGAAAAAAACAACCCACCAAACAAAAAACCAGTTACAGCCGCAGTCTAGCACAACGCTGAGGTGTTTGGCCAAAGGCGAAGAAACCTGTAAGAGCGCCTGTCCCAGGCACAAATCCCCTTCTCTCGACACATGTGACCAAATTGTTGAGCTGGAAACGGCACTGGGGGCTGGGAAGGCGGGATCTGAGTTTGTTCCCCGTCCCCAGGCGATCCGCAGCCACCCAGGGGCGGTGCCGAGGGAGCCGCGGGCTGTCCCCTCGTCCCCTGGTCCCAGGTGAGCGCGGCCCGGCCCCGCCCGTCCCCCGCTCCTCCCCTCCGCCCTCCGCCTCCCGGGAGCTGTGCGGTGCCGGCATGGCCCCGCCGCTGCTCATCGCGCTCCTGCTGCTCTGCGGCGGCCTCTGCCCGCCCGCCCGCGCCGGGCTCCACTTCAGGGCCGGGCAGAGCTGCTACCGCCCGGCCCCGCGCAGGGCGCCCGGCCTCAGGTCAGCCCGGCCCCGGAGCGCTCGGCCCGCCGGCGGCGGGGCAGGGCTGGGCAGGCACGGCCGGGCTCGGGGGGTTCGGGGTGCCGGGATGGGGGTTCGGGGTGCCGGGGTGGGGGTTCGGGATGCCGGATGGGGGTTCGGGGTGCCGGGGCCGCTCCGGGTCTGGGGAGGGGGGGGGCGGTCACGAGCTCTCGGTGCCGGACCGGTCACGCCGCGGTCACGTGACCCCTCCGGCCCCTGGCGAGCTCGCTAAGAAACTCTGTGACATCCCTGCTTTCTGTGATTTTTTGGGGTTTTTTTTGGTTTTTTTTTTTTTTTTAAATGCCCACCCGTCGTGCTCGGGGGATGCCGGCCCTACCTCCTCGTCCCGTCCCCTCCCAGGACCTACCCCCGGCCGCACGAGTACCTGGACGTGTCGGCGCTGCCGCAGAGCTGGGACTGGCGGAACGTCAACGGGGTGAATTACGCCAGCACCACTCGGAACCAGCACATCCCCCAGTACTGCGGGTCCTGCTGGGCCCACGGCAGCACCAGCGCCTTGGCAGGTACCCTCAGGCTCACCTGCTGGGCTGGCTCCCCGCTGGAATCGGGAATTCTCAGGAAGCAAAGGAAGTTTAGCTTCAGGTTACTGGCAGTTGGTATAAAGGTGCTAAATCATTGCAGTGACTAGACTGAGATGTCCGTGAATACACCAGAACAGTGGGAATGCCCAAGGTGAAGACAGGGAAAGTTGGTTTCAATACAAAATGCAATCAGAGTGAAGCTGTCTCCACCTTATCCAAAGGCAGCAAGGCGGGAATGCTGGTGTGTGGTTAAAAACCTGTTTGCAGAAGGAATGTGGCCATAGCTCCTCCCAAACTGCTCTTTAGGTCCTGGAGTAAGAGCTGGGGTTTCTGCCCTCTACTCAGAGGTGTGGTGATGGCAGCAGCAGATGCAAAAGTGTTGTAAGGTCTCCTTCCCCTTTCTGGCACCTCACTGCAGCCATGCTAGCACTGAGGAAATGAAAGATGCCTCTTATGGGCTATTTGCTACAGGAGCCCTATCATTCCAAGAACTTACCACCACAGCAGACACATAAGTAAGTCTGATTTCAGCCTTTTTCTCAGTCAGGAGGAAGTAGTGGTTTGCTAGAGATGGAGAAGTAGTGGCTCTAGAGAGAATGCATGATTTGCATGCAACAGTTATGTGCTGGAGAAGCACCACTTGCACAGGGAGGCTGTAGGGAAATTACCTGTGAAGGAGAAACAGGAAACTGGGGAGAAGGGGGAAGATAGAGCAGGTGTGAGCAGACAGCAGGAATCATGCAGCATACAAGGATGTGGACATGTATGACACCTGCCAGGATGGAGTGAAGTACTGGGATAGGTAAAATACAGCAACTTGCAGGAAGATTAGGCTGGGATGATAGCTCCCTGTTCT